CCGGCTGGATTCTTTTGCCGAGGCGCAAACACACTATAATTTAATGAGTCATGCAGAGCATATTTATGAAAGAATGAAGAGCTCTATTCGTCGCATCGAGCGCAACGATCTTAGCTTGGATTTTGTCGGAATGACAGAACAGAATGAATTTCTAGAAATTGCTTACGGGCGGCTTAAACACTCAGTACCTAGTGCTGGAGAATCAAAAGCCACATTTATATCGCGTATGCTTTTTGCGCAGGCCGTTCAGTTTTTTCCATCAGGAAATGGATCACATACAAACGATACTACCGGTTACTACCCAGAGCATCTAGGTAATATTGTCTTCACATCTAGTTAGTTAGTTAGTTTAAACTTTATTCATTTTAAATTAAATAAAAAAAGTAAAAAAAACATATTCGAGAACATGTAATCTTGAAGATGGAATCGACAAAGTCATTGTACCTACTCCTTGATTACCACAAACTAGCATAAAAATAATATAAATAAATATGCCTTTGATGTTGTAATATATAAATAGGAATAATAAAATCTTAATCATGCAAAAGAAAAAAGAAAGGTGTGACAGAGAGAGAGAGAGAGAGAGTAATGAGATTGACATAGCATTTATCTATCGACAGAGAATCTTAAAGTTGCATCAATGTAAGATGCACATAAGGCAAACATGTAGTGAAGAAAAAAATTTGCCGTTTTTTTTAGCCTATTCGATAGAGAATTTGACGTTGATCACGAATATTTTCGACTGATGTATATTTCGAAATCTTTAGTTCAATTTCATTTTTTTCGAACTTTCACGGTGAAAAAGTTACCAAGATTTTTACGAAACAACGAAGTTGAACTAAAGATTTCGAAATATACATCAGTCGACTCAGTTTTTTATCACGATTCCGAATATGATATTTTTATTGCTCAAAACGTGAGTTCTGATGGAGAGACTTGAGAATTATGGGTGGAATTCCGGCTTTTTCATCTCTAATTTAGAAAAAATGACTTTTCTCAGGAATGAAACAAAATTTCAAAAAAGTGGACGTATACTTTTGAAGAGGAGCTTCCGGCGAATCGAACCATGTCAAAATATTGGCACTAGGTGCTCAGGAAAAAGTGGTGTTAGGTTTGCCAAATCGGTCCGGCTTTTTTAGCCGTGCTTGTTTCCGGCCCTTGGAAAAATCCAGTTCTCGTTCTGGCACTTTCAAACTTAGTTTATCAGATTCAGTTTTCAATTCTGAATCTGAAAAACTTAGTTTCGAGATGCGAAACTCAAAAGGAAACAGACTAGCGCCATTTGTTTGAAAACTTGATTTTTTCACTTTTTAGAGTAGTCCGAAGTTTTTGGATTTTTTCGATCGAAAAAACGTTTTCAAAAAACGTAAAAGACACATATTCGTGATCAACGTCAAATTCTCTATCGAATAGGCTAAAAAAACGGCAAATTTTTTTCTTCACTACATTTTTGCCTTATGTGCATCTTATTTAACAACTAAACGATAGATAACACAGTAATTATCTTAGGAATTGCGTTAGTTAACAATAATAGAGTTTTTAATGAGTAATCTGGATTTGATATCGAATCATTTATAGATTTAAAAAGTGCAGCTCGCTGTACGTCATAGAGAGAACAGTGCAGTAAATAATGTTTTACTGTTTCTTTCTCGCCACATAAACAATTTTTGTCCGGCACTAATCCCTTGATGTAGAGATCATTATTTAATGACAAGAAGTTGCATCGCATTTGATAGTATAGTTTATCTATTTCACGTTTAACACCGTAAACTCGAAAGATCCTTAGTATGTCTATTTGTGTATTAAACTTTCTTTTAAAGCCTCTTAAAGTATTACATGCACACAATTCATAGTTTAATTCGTTCCATTTTCTGATTGCATTAGGAAAAACCGACATTTCAAATATTTTACTCATAAAAGGCCTATCAGTTTCCCAATTACCCTGAATTTTCAGTTCTACTTGTGTTCTAGTTTGATAATTACGATTGTGATGTAAATGAGAAATATGATTTGCTAAAAAAACTAGATGCTAGTCCTCTCACTATCTTAAACATAAGGAGAATTTTCTGTTGATCAAAAACTTCAAGTATGTCTTGCCATCCTAAAATATCGAGTACTTTACTCCTACTAGTTAAATGTAAGCAACCAGTTACAACTAAAGCAAACTTGTATTGTATACTGGATATTAAAGAAAGATTTTTAGCAGTAGTAGATGAATAAAGCGTAAAGTAACATGGGATAAGCATAACACTTATATATTTGATCTAAAACGGTAGTTTGAAATTTGTTTTTATACTGATACATTAAATATAAAATTTTGTTACATCTTGCAATTACGCAATCAATGTATTTTTCCCAATTTAATTGAGGGGTAAAAGAGACCTAAGTGTTTGTGACTTAAAACGTCAAAGAGAGCAGTACCATTTATTATAAGCGGTAAATGAGACGCATCCAATACTCGCTTACTAAAAGTCATCGCTTCACATTTCTTAACATTCCGATCTATCTGCCAATACAAGGACCACCCGTAAACGCGTTTTAAATCTTAAAACATCAGTTGCTTTTTCGATTGAAGTACCAGTAATGTGCAATAGAGCATCATCCGCGAATACTCTCGTTACTGATTTCAAATTTAAGACAATATGGTCAATATAGATGAGAAATAACAGGGATCCTAAAATAGATCCTTGTGGCACTCCACGATTAATCTTTCTTCTAGAGGAAGTAGTACCGTTCACTGGTGTTTCTATAAACCTATCAGAAAGATATGGAGAAAACCATTTTAACATATTACATGATACACCTTTTTGTTTTAGCTTGTAGAGTAAGCCAGCATGCCAGACCGAATCAAAAGCTTTTTTAAAGTCAAGAAAAACTGTTCTAGTTAGTTTGTGATTTTCACTTCCTAAATCCACAGCATGAACGAAATCAATTAACTGATTAACTGTAGAATCACGATGGCGAAAACCAGATTGTAACGAAGCTAACTGATTATTTTTAGTTACGTAATTATAAAGACGGGAATATACCACCCTTTCTAAAGGTTTTGAAAATATATACTGTAAAGTAACAGGTCTATGATTATTCGGCTGCCAGTGTTCGCCGTCTTTGAAAAGTGGAGTAATACATCCTATTTTAAATGAAGATGAAAACTCTCCTTCCCTGATTGATCGATTACAAATATCTGCTAACGCCTCATTTATAACATCACTAGATTCTCTAACCATTCTGCCAGTAACTTCTGAACTACAAGCCTTGTTTGCATTTAATTTTCGTAGTATTCTTTCAACCTCACCTGGATAAATTTTTTCTGTAATATCAAATTTAGAAGAAGAAAGAGGAATGGTGTCAGACGGAATAAATCTACACGCGTTTTTATCACTCATAGTACAGACAGATGCAACGTGTTCATTACAGATTTCAGCTTTAGCAAAGTAGTCGTAAATCAGTTCTCCCGTAGTATTTTCATCACAGAGATTTCGCTTTGTTTGCTTTTACAGAGTGCGTGATTAAGTAGTTTATACCAGGAAGAAGAATTTGCTTGTTGCTGGTTAATACGATTATAAAATTTTTTCATAGCAAACTCGCAACTTTTTTCAAAAAGACATGCAGATGTCTCGTATTTAATTTTTTGGCGATGGTCTGTTTTTTTTGTATTGAGCAAAATACCTATTCGTCTGTCTACGCATATTTCGTAATTCTTCTGTGAACCGAGGTTTGTCGCGCACTGTAGTCGTTATATGTTTATTTGGAATAGCTACATTCGCCGCTTTAGTCATAGCAGTAGAGAGTAACTCGATTTTTTTCATTTATAGAGTTAGAAAAGTGAAACGAAGAAGAATTAAGATTTTGAAAAACTAAATATCGGTAATAATTCCAATCCGTACACTTATAATTGAAGATTTTCCTTTTGTATGAAGTTTGTTGAACAGATTTCACCAGAAGAACAATGCTTAAAAGTGAATGATCACAGGAAAGAATTAACAGAGGCAGAACAGAAAACCTTTAATTAATGAAACATTATTAGTAGCAAACAAATCTAAGCATGCATCTGAAGAAGGCCTTGTTACATCATTAATCATTAGTGTGATACCCAGGCTAGTGAACAGATCAAAAATGTCTTCCCCTTCACGTGTACTAGACTTAGTAGGGCACCATTTATGACAGTGCGCGTTGAAATCACCCGTTATGAATAAACCATCATATTCTAATAAACTGACGTTAGAAGAAATCGAGTCATGGATGAAAGTTCAAAAATCTTGAAACTCCTCTATCGTAGATTCAGGTCTATAAACAACAATTAGCAAAATCCTTTTATAATTAGATAACATGACTTATAAAATTTCAAAATCATCGTTCTCTAAATTCAATAAACGTGTACTAACAAGGCCTTGTCTAACATAAACTAATACATCTCCTCCTCGCTTGTGCAGGCGATCCTTACGAAACAACTTATACTTTGGAATAGAAACTTCAGCATCATCATTTTGTGGCTTAAGCCATGATTCAACAATAGACAATACCAAGGGTGTTTCATTTTTACATAGTTCACTAACGAAATAAAATTATTTTAAATTACTTTCCCCTGCTGTTGCTAAGATGTTTCTGATGTTAAAAAAGTATATACTATTAGAACTGTCTCTGCCGTCGACGGCTGCTGCATTAATACGTGTGTGAATCAAGTTTTTTTCTAGTCCAGTGTCTGACAATTTGTTTCGCTGGAACAATGCTGGATTTTGAGATCAAATTAGAATTATACAATTAAGAAAGAGTTAAGATTCAAGTCAAAGCCAAGATTACATGTGCCTGGTATCCATGCATCCTGGACATTTGGATGAGCGGACTTTTGAAATTTTGAACTGTTGATTGTCAAATCCCCAAACACTGTTTTTATTGGTCGACTTTTTCTTAAATTTCCATTTAAAAATCGATTTAACATAAATTTAGATCATTTGTTGATAAACAGGTTGTATTCTGCGGACATGAACCTGTTCTTGAATTCATGATTCTTCATCTTCCACTAAATATGCCAGTGGATGTTGTTGTTGTATCCCTTTGTATGGTCCAGAATATAATTCACCGAATTTTGGACGTTTACCATGCTGTTTGATAAATACTAAATCACCTGGATGACAAATTGGATTGGCATGTCCCTTGTCATAACGTCGTTTCGCCAGCTATTGTTGGTAATTGATGTTGTACTTTACACTCTTTTTGTAGCCATTCATTAACTGATTGATTTGTGTCCAATAATCATTTGGCTTTGTTAATACGATTACTGCTTTTGGTGCATCAAAGGGTAAAACGGGTTGGCGGGCAAACATCAGTTGAAATGGTGAGTACCCAGTTGTTGCATGAACTCCAGTGTTGTAGGCAAATACACATGCTGTTAAGTATGCATCCCAATCATTAACATTTTCATCATGTAATTTTGCCAATTGCGGATAAAAGGTTGCATTGAAACGTTCAACCTGTCCGTTTGTTTGGGGATGGTATGTTGTTGCAAAGACGTGTTTGCATCCACAAAGCCGAGTAATGCTGCCCATCAATTCGTTCTTAAAGTGTGATTCTTGATCTGTAATTAATTTTCTGGGTACACCATATTTCAAGATGACATCTTCGACGATGAATTGTGCTATTGTTGTTGCTGTGTTGTTTGGCATGGCTTTGGCTATGACATATTTTGATAAATAATCCGTTACTACCAACACATACCTGTTTCCTTCAGCCGATGGATGAGATGTTGAACCCCAAAACTCCATTCCAATTGTTTCGAATATACCCTTGGATGGTGTGATAGGGTATAATTTACTTGGTGGTTTGGTTCTTCGGATGTTAAATTTGGCACATTTTTCACATGACTTAATATAATTTTCGATTGTTGACATCATATTGGGCCAGAAATATCGATCTTTTAATTTATGCCATGTCCGTCTTATGCCAAAATG